AAAAAAAATTAATTAAATTATCATATATATAATAATTAAATGTTTTACTTCCTATTATGAAGATAAAAAAAAAATAAAAATAAAGTAAAATTAAATAAAATAAAAAAAATCCACTAGGAAAATTTAATAATTACTTTATATTTTTACTTACTATGCTAACGAAAAAAATAAAATATTTCCTAAAAATTACTAATATAAGCAAATATTATAATTTAAAATAGTAAGAATAATTTCGAATACGAATAATTTCAAATAAAATAAATAATTTTGAGTAAAACTTCGAATATTACGAATAATTCGAATCGAATAATAAAAATTTACTATTCGACGAATAATTTTTCTCGTTATTCATATTCATATTTGATTCGTTTCGAATAGAATTATGTTATTCTTACTCGTTAAATAAGAATCGAATCGAATAACGAATAATTTGTTCTAGGTTTAATCGAAAAATCGGATAATAAAATGGGTCATATTATATGAAATCTTGCATAATTTCACGGATTATATTCTCATTTCTAATCTCTCCTATTTTTCGTACTGAAATAGATGAAGAAAATTTTTTCTTCAATTTCTAAGATTTTTAATCTGTATTTCGATCGAAACGAAGTTTGAACACGCCATAATTATCAACTGACAAAATCATGTACACATTGTTGTCGCACCTCTCCCAAAGAGGGTGGTGATCTCCATTTTTACTGAATTCGTTCTTCGGATAAAAAAATAAAACTGACTATTCTAAAACTTTTAAAAAATATATATTGACGAACACATAATATTACATTAGAGATAGGTTGGTCTTGGCCAGGAAATTCCCATTTTTTTGTATGAGGTATGAATTATTAGAATATGAAAACGATATATATTGTAAATTTTATCTGCAAAAATATAGGATTTAGTTTTTTTTTACAAAAATTATTTTATTTTTAAGGGATAAGATAAAAAATTATCGATAAAATATTAATTCGATTATTTAGACTTTATTTATTTTAGATATCGGCCCGGTCTGGTTATTTTTTTAAAAAATTTTACCCGACTCGAGTTTTTGATATGGGTTATTTCTAAATATTATTCACCGTATTTTGTAAATGGTTTTAAAGGGAAGCCGGAAATATGATATGCGAATAGATGCTTAAATGATCCAGCACGCAATTTTTTAACTGCTTAATTCCTCATCCACCATTAGGCGCTAATTCGAGTTGAAGAATACAAAAATATGCAATATTTGGTATACTTCGCCGCGAATTCGCGCTAATTGTGTATGTAGGGTAATTGATATATAATTTAATTTATCCGAAAAAGATTTGACCAGGCCCTGGTTTATTTATCCCTTTTCTGGTTTTGGTTAATTGTTTTAAAAATTTTTTTTTTATACTCAACCGAGTTTTGAATGTCATTTTGCGGTTCAGGCTTATTTATTTTTTAGGTGTAACATTTGTATATATATATATATATATTTCTAGAAGAAAACAAAAACAATAAATGTAATATATAAAGTAAGAATAAATTAAATGAGACAGATCAGAGATCTACAGAGTGGCAGCCCGGAAAATTTGTGCAAAATATTATTTCCGGTTTGGGTAGGATAATCTGTGCGAAATTTATTTTTTCTTGAATAATGTAAATTTATGATTTTTTCTTTATAAAAAAATTATTACGGGCTGGATTAAAATAATTATGGGCCAGGCTAGTGCCAAAAACTCTTTTTAAGATCCTAACCGTGCCATGTTGATCTCTATTAGAATTTTCATTTTTAAAATAGTAAAATAAGCACAATACATCGTAGGGAGTAGGGATATGGAGGAATCTTTAAGATTTAGATAATTTAATAGTGAGTGTATTTTTTAAAAATTTCTGAAACACCTGTAGCCGAATTTGTAATAAGCATGTGTATAGCATACATGCTATCTAAGAATTTTGTATTCTGGGTCAAAATTAATTAATGTATAAAAATCTTCGTTAAAATTTTAAAATTGGTTCAAAATTTCAAAACAAAAATATCTGAAATTTTTAGAATTGTACAATTCAGCAAGTATTTAAATATTTAAATATTTAAAAAGCGTGTGCTAGCTGACTGTTCATGCTTATTCTAATGCAATAATAATCTATATTAAACTCTCCCATAAATTAAAACATAGGTCTATTTAAAACAAATACAAACCGAATAATGAATTATTTGAATTCATATATTTGAAACGAATCAAATAATTTACTAATTATACCGAGCAAAATTAAGTAGAGATTCTAGCATATTCGGAAAACTATGAATAGTTCATTATTCTATTAATAGTCGTTATTCAATAAGGCCTAATACTACATTATACTTTTAAATTGATGGTTTATAATAAAAAATTTCATAGAGTTTCAAAATTTTACACCAACCCTGCAAGCAAGTAACTAATATAGTATTAAAAAGTACATCTATATTAATAACTTTCTATTTATATAATGCAAATGCAATCATGTTAAGTTATTAAATAAATTACATTAATATTTTTATGAATTTTAGGTGAAATAAAGGAAAGGTGTAATATAAATAATATTTATTAAAAATTAATGAGTATATAATATTATATGTTAGCTACATTATAAATTTATAATATGCTTTGTGTTTTTTTTCCGGCAATGTGTTATTTTTTCAACTTTAAATCATATTTTGAGAGCATTTTTTTTATATTTAAAATCTGATTTTGCCGAAAATATATTTCAACCCACCCTATGAATTTTTGATAATTTTATCATAAATATTTGAACTTAATATAGTTTATAATAGTTTTTCCATAGATTTTTTTATATAAATTATAAAAGACTCAAAAGTTAACGGTATAATTATCTACAATTCATAAGATAGGTATTCTAAATATGCCGGAATACATTACTGATAAAATCAGATTTTTAAATTTACATAACGCGCTCAAAAAATGATTCAAAGTTGAAAAAATATCACATTGCCGGAAAAAACACAGTTCCGCCATCATTTTTTATTCCATCATAATGTTAAAAAATAAGAACTAATTAAAATATGTAAAAGGGACTATTATATACAAAAAAAATATGTAAAAAGGATTTTAAAAAAAGTTAGGTTAGCTCCTTACGAAGAAGGCTACCAATGAAACTGATGTAATTAGATTTATGAAAGGCAACGAAGAGTTTTTGCCTAAGGTAAAAACTTTCCCAGGGTTCATCAGCGATTTTACGAATAAGAGAACCGAGTTCCTTGAAGAAGGTTAATGCACGGCTACCAAATGTGGCTTATGCAGAGAAGATTGTAGGTATAAAAAATGTGTTCATTAGATATTTCCGAATATTAAATAATTTTGGATATATTGATGTCCAAGATGTTTGTGCTAAGATTTGTAGGGGCTAGGGGAACTATACAGAAATAATCTCAATCTCAAACTAGAAATTGACCTCTCTTTTTCAATAAATTTGGGTAGTGCCATCTGGACACTTTTTATCGATCTAAAAAGACCCCTAGGTTCTATGGAATTTTCTCAGGGGACGTTGAATAATGACATTACAATGATTGTGTCTAGAAATACGTTCTTTGCATAAACGGCAGTGCAAGCTATGTCGTCCCTTTGTCTCAAAAGGAACATTACACTCAGAGCAAAGATAAGGTTGGGTAATTGAGCAATTGAGGCGGATTCCAGTGGCATGAGTGAGTCATTTTTGGTGAGTTATAATTGAAGATTAACAGATAAGATAGCTTTGAGAAATTCATGCTCAGCATATAACAGTGACAAAAAGAGAGGACGATCTAAGGTTTGCTTGCTTGTAGAGTTTCGACCAGTAAGCAACAACCAAGATGTCCCATATTTTTTTTGTTTGCGAGTAGCAGTTAAAGAGGTATCACCAAGAATTCGAAATTTCTTAAGATCTAATGCCTGAGTGTACGATGTATCGTCCACAGGTTGTACTGTATATTAATAAAGTATACACCAAAAAAAAATCAAATTATGAAATTAAATATTTCCTACCTTTCTTAAAAGCTCTCTTATACATTGTTATATAATAGCAATCTTTGGCTTTAATGAACTCTCATTTTATTAAAAATTCTTACAAAAAATAAAAATGTTTAGTCTTTCACCGGGAAATATTGTCGATTTTGGAAAGAGAACCAAAATAAAAATCTGATAGAACTTCTTTATTATATTATCTCTAATTTAGTGTTTTAATCTATTCTTAAAAATCTTCTATTTTCAATGTTTGAAGTTTTTAACCCTCCCGCGAAACCCGACCACTTCCCAATATTCTTCTACTTTTAACGTCTCCAGTAACACTTTCTTTTTTTATATATTTTTTTAAAAAAACATTATTTTATATTGAATTTTGAAGAATAAAAAAAATACTCATAATGTAATTTTTTATAAAATTTTGGTTAAAATTCTAAATCGTTATTTGGTTAAATTTATACTTACTTTCCAGAAAGAAGATAAATTACTTAAAATATATATTTATAATATAATCCAAATTAAATTCATTTTTTAATAAAAATTATTTAATTATAATATATGGCTATTTATCATGGTATAATTATATTTATATTAAATAGTGATGTTAATTATCATCCAATTTTATAAATCAAAAAAAAAACTTGGGAAAAACCATTAATTATCACATCATACTAAATGATTTTTGACATAGATCTATTTAGCTTGGAAAATTATCCCTTACCACTTATTTCCACAATCCTATTCAATTGTAGCTTATTTATATTTAGAGTTAAAGTATTCTCCAAACAGTTTTACTTCTTTATTTAGTTCATTCTCTAGGGTATTTCTTTTAGAAGTATCATCATCATTTTCAATTTTCATAACTAATTAAACTAAACAAAGCGAAGAATAAAAATTGTCGTTAAGATATAATTATAGTAATATAGACTTTTTCATCTTCCTTTTTTATATTCTCTTTAAATGAAAATTCCGCAGTACACTATATTAATACACATAATAATTCTATCATTTTAAAAAATGAAATAATATTTACGATATGTATAGAAAAGTCAATATCCCTTACACTGGATAATACGGCGTCTTTGCTTATCTTCGTGGAGGTGACGGTCAAAGAGGAAGAAGTAACAAATAAACAAAATATAATTTATAATATATTAGAGACTAATATGATACAAAAACTAATTCAAAATATAATATTAAGGGGATGATACCTTAAACCTCCCCATCCCCTTAACCCATATATTCCAAAATATTTATATATTTGACATCAAATTACAATTATTCGTGTAACTTATGACTCATTGGTTTAAATTTTAAGAAAATATATCTGATAGAAATCTCTCAATTTTATATCATTTATTCAGGATGATTTTTAAATTTGGAAAGTCTGATTTGACCGGAAATATATTCCAGCATGTGTAGATTAGCTATTATAGTTGGGTAATGTCAAAATTTTGACTAAATCGACTCAATCTACAGGCGCGTGCAAGAGAAGACGTTAATACTTTGGCTTATTTAATTTACATTAGTATTAGTTTCTTCCCAATTTGACATGCTATATATTTAAGAATAACCCTCAAAGCCGAAGTGATACTTTTTGACTAAAAACTCAATTTGGCCAATTTTTTATAGTCGGCTAAAATTTGGCTTAAAAGTAAAAAAATATAGTAATTACTCAACTATGTAACTACCCTATGAATTTCTGACAACTTTCGCCTTGAACTTTTGTGTATTTTACAATTTATACAAAATATCTGTATAAAAATAAATATAAAATAATAGTAGTTCAAAAGGTTTCATGATAAAAATGTTTGAAAATTCACAGTGTACATTTTGAAATATATCTCCGGTAAAATTAGATTTTAACTTCCTCAGTATTAGAGATTTCGATTCCTTGTGGATTCCATATCTCTGATACGATATACATATTATGCTCAAATTGCCTCAAACAAATGCCGACCCATCGGAGGCATGGTTTTAATTTCGACCCGGCATTTTTATATATAAAACTGCGAATTTTAAAAATAATAATAAAATAAATGATTGCATGATTTTTACCCAATTGATTTGTTTAATATTAATTATATTATATTATCTTTAAAACAAAAATCGGCCATGCCCAGGTTTTGGCAATCTTATTAAAAAATTTTTTGTAAACCCAGCCCAACTTTAATTTTTCTAGTGGAGCCCGCAGATTTCTGATATAAATTAAGATCGTTTAATATATTCTACATTTCGAAATAACTTCTTTTTTTCTTTAACGTTTACGGTAGGAAACTGTTATATCACTATTTTTTATTATATTTTTAATCGGAAAGTGAAACAACAAAACTATAATATATATATTGATTTTACGAGAAGAACAATAAATAGTTGATTAAAAAAGAGAAAGATAAAAATCAAAAAGTTTTGTTCTGATTCATAGAAATGTATAACTTTAATATTTATTTATTTTTTGATAAGGAAGTATATACTTATATGTATATATATTTTTTGTTATAACACGATATAAGAGAATCAAAATTAACGACTTAAGGATAGTTTAATTTATTTTTTAAAAACCAAATTATTTGTTTCTATTTCAAATATACATTTTTGAGCCGATTTTTAAAAAAAATGGCTAACTGAATATTTTATCTAGAAAGAATATTACGCAAGACTCAAGATTTTGATTATAAATGACACAAAGGTTTGTTTAGGTTAGGCAATATTTTTCTATTTAAAATATTGAGTTTGTCATTTTAAAAAAATGGGCTTAAATCAAGTCATTTAACAACACATTTTAATAATTAAAGATTATACATATATATACTATTTTAAAAAAACGATACAAAATACAAAATTATATCTAAAAGTGGTGTAAGGTTGGGAGAGGCAGCACAATTAGTCCCTAATTTTAATTTTTTACTTGTTTTAAGTAAAGAAATTTTGGCCTCCAATGTGTGGATTTGTTAGTTTTTTTTAAAAAAAGATTGTGTTAGGGGAGACAAAATGTCCAGTGGTGGACGTGGCAATTGGAGGGATTAAAAACCTGATTCCTGTTCTAATAATTTTCAAAAAGTTGGCCAGATTCCAATTTTAAACTGTTACTAAACAATGATTTTTTTTCCACCGTTTACGACTAAAAAAATATAACCCTTTCCATTCCAAGCTTCGGAACATTACGAAACGTGTTCCTTACAATTTTTATATATTTAATTTCTAATTTTATTATAAAAATTTATATTCTTTTTAGTCTATATAAAATAATATATCTTTTTTTATTACATTCCTTAATATATTCTCTATTAATTTTTATTTTTACAGCGGTCTCTATTATAAATTTGTGTGGCAAAATAAACACGTTTCGAACTCTAATTTGGTAACAGAATTGTTTGTCAGTTGAAATTTAGAATTTTATTTTGTTTTATTAAATTTGATTTTAAAAAAGTTTTTACAATTTGAATCAAATCACATAGCATTATTTTTTTAGAGAAAACTGTTATATCGGCGAACGCTTGATTTTGGTAAGGATTTTGTTTTATAAGTATAGGGCGAAGGATTAGCTTCGAAATAAAAAAATATTGTATATATATATATATATCAATGATGTATAAAGAGTCCATACATAGAGGAGCAGGGCTAACCGAACCGCAAAACCGGAACGAACCATTGTAATTATATGAACCATAACCGAACCGTTATAAAGAAAATACAAAAAGAGCGAAGCGAACTGTTATAAATAGTTTAAACCGGTTCATAACGGTTTTTAAAAATAATTAATTTTTAATTATTAACCTAAATTTGAAATTTTAATTTTCCTTGGCAGAAATTTATATTCGTAATTTCTTTTCAAATTAAAATTTTTTTTAAAATTAAATCGCCATTATCTTCATATCAAATAGAGAGTTAGGCAAATTACTAGTTAATTAGATAAGAAATAATCTTCATGGTTAAATTAAATAAGTAATTATAAAATTATAAATTAAAAATATTTTTCTCTAAGATTAATATATTAAATATTTTATAGATAATTTTTTTAAAAAAATAAATTTTTTTAAACCGAATCAAACCGACATGAATTTCTTCAAAAAAAACCGAAATAGGACAAAACATTTATAAAATTTTATATTAAAAACCGAAACGAGCCGAACCACTAAATAGGAGTCGGCTATAGCGCCATTTTGTAGTTTGCCCTCCGACGAATTGTCTTTATTCATTATTATATGAATGCACATTAATGTCATTTAATAGACGTGCAATTTATAAAATGGCGCTACAGCTGGCTCCTATGTATGAACCCTATATGGCCATGTTATACATGATTAATATATATATGGGGTTTTAAATATTGTTTTTAGCATATGACTATTTACCGACATCTTGGATTTTGTAACAATAGCCCATCCTTTAGTTTATATGGATGGAAAAAGATAAATGTTGAACTAAAAAAATAATTTTTTAAACACATATTTATAAATACAAATATACGTGAAAAAGGTATTAATAAAAATATGAAAAATAACCTCTATCTTTTGTTCTTGTAAAATGGAAAAATCAATACTCTTTTTAACGTTTACTTTGATGAAAGGATTTTGAAAATAAAGCAAATGATATATATATAAATGTTCGCAAGGGAAGTGGAATTTTAAATTTTTTTAAAAAAAATTTAAATTTCTAAAAAGAAATGTTACTCAAAATTGAAGGAAATATAAAGGAGATCTTTAACAGAAGGGAAAAAAAACTTGTTTTAGGAGAAAGGGTGAAGGGTTACGACCCTCTGAATTAAAAATTTTCCTTGGATTCGCTGAGGAAATTATTATATTTTGTAAAAAAACTCATATTTCGTCATAAATATCAAATTTTCGAAATTGATTGATCTCTTATACGCAGGGATTCCAAGCAAGAGCTATTAACCCGAGATCATTATTATTTATAGAGCCGAAACCGTACCTGAAGTAGTAGAAATCTCTAAAAAAGATTCTTGAACCGGGCTGAACCTTTTGACATTATAACGACAGTGGCACCTGCTCAATTCTTAATATAATTTATTTTTCTTTCTCCTTAGAAACATCATTTTTTGAGAGAATAATGAAAATACTTAAATTGCATGCGGTAAAGTTTTCCGGAGAAAACACATCAATAAAATACAAGACTCGATTAATAATATATTTCTTTTTCCTTTTTTTTTGCTCGATTGAATATAACAATTGTAAAATGAATTTATAAAATAATAAAAGGTTTATAAAATTAGAAGGTGGGAAATATTATCTATTCATTCATATTTTAAACAGAATAGAATTGAATTATTTTCATCATTAAAGTATCAAACAAGAGTTATTGCTGAATATTAAAATAGAAAAACAATTATTTTGAAGTGGAAATATCTTTCCTAAATACTTTTACAAAAAAAATCGGACCGCGCGGCAAAATAGCCGAGTCTAGATCTAAAAATATTAGCTACCAGCGGGCGAGCTTTGGCCAATAAATTTTGGATATAGGTCCCTAGTAAAGGGAATAACGGAATGGGGATAAAATTTTGAAAAATATGCTTCTCATTACATAATTCTAATAATGAGTATATACGAAACGGGTTGAACCGGATTTTAGAGAACAGACATGATTATTTTTTACAAACCGAACTATAACCATGAACCGTTAATTATCTGAATATCCGCATCCCTGCTTATATTCTAAAATGTAGGCTTCAATGAATGAGAGCTTAAAATATGCCTTTTCAAAGATATAATTTCCTATTTGTGTATTCACATCGTGAATCTTTTATTTAAATATTATATAAATTAAAAATTAATTTGATTTTATCGATATTTAAATTATTTTGGAATTAAAAGAAATGTAAAAAATTTATAAATATAATTTTTAATTAAAATAAATTATAAAAAAGCATGAATAATAAAAATATTCTTATTTATTGATTTATATTTTTAATGTTTAATTGCACTTTAAACGTGAATAATTTTACAATAAAATTGAAAAAAAAATTGTTGTTGGAAGGATATTATGAAAATGAACAATGGTGGAAATATAGAAAGTAATTGGTTTACGATTGATTTAATAAACCCCTTTTAAAATTTTTTCCAATAATTTATGAACAAAAATTAAATTGTTCCAAGGGTACCCTAGTTTCTCATTATAAAATTGCCATTTCCCACAAAAAAACTTAATAAATATATCTTTCTAGAATTAAAACCATTGAATGTCTGATAAACTTAAATGATTTTACATAAAATAAATATTTCGTAAGTTAACAGGTTTGAAGTGTAGCTGGCTAACCCCGGACTACGGAATGATCAATGACATATATATTACCTAGACTGACGATTCATTCATTAAAAGTGTACATCAAAGCTAATCAGCTGGAGATGCCATCTTGGTTACACTAATCATTATTAAAAATTTAAATCCGAGCCTAATTTATTCCTATATCTGATGCAAACTTTATTGAAGAATTACTGGATCATCGAGATAATAAGGAAGCAAGTTATCAATTTAATAGTAGTTTTTAACATGATAATAATTACTATATGTGTTACCAAAATGGCGGGCCCAGCTGATTTTCTTTAAACGATGCTTTAAAATGCATTTTAATGAATGAATAGTCAGTCTAGGTATTATATATGTCATTAAATGATTGATAATTTATCAAGTTTTCGGGCTAGTGTCGGTCTCAGACAAAAAATATAATTTCATTTTTTATGGTTAATCACTCAGCAATATTATGAAAATAATTTTAATTTAAAAGGCATGCGTAGAGTTTTGGGAAGCAATTCATGCAAAACTTAGCTTTGCTCTGCATAGGGCTAGTATCAAAAAAATTTTTTTTTTTTGAAATTTCAGTGACAATCAACGAGACAAAAACATATAAACAAAATAAAAAACTATATTTTTAATTAAAAAACATTTATTTTAAATTCAAAATTATTTTTATTTCAGAAAAAAATAAATAAAATAGCAAAATATATAAAAATAATAGCGTTATAAAATAAAAAAACATAACAAAATAGTAAATAAGTTTTAAAAAAATATATTTCTATTTAAAAAAAACCAGGCATTCTCATTAAAAAATATAGAATATAAATTGTTCCCAATTATAAATATAATATTTATAATAGCTCATTCATATATATTCGTTTATATAATTCCTTCAGTTTTCTTCATACCGCATCGCTAGGTAGGAGGTGCATAGGGGCTCAAGCCTCCTAAAAACTTTGGAGTCTCCTGAAAATATCTATTTTTTTTTAGATATAGTCTTTTTTTGAAAATTTTAGATAGGATTTACCTTATTTTTTGCTAATTTTAGAGAGAATTTTTATTCTTTTAGCTTATTTTGGATATAATTTTTAGATAATATTGGAAATTATACATAAATGAGCCCCTTCAAGCTGTAAGAACTAGTGATACCACTATAATGTAACTCATAATGATAAAAGATCTAAATTTCAATGGATAATTTTGTTTTACATTAGTGTTGAAAGATGTTTTTTCGACATTCAAATTTGTTTCAACATCATCGCATACCAGTGTTGTTAAACAGCCTGATTTGGGTCGATCGCATACATATAAATGATAATAATCTTCAGAAAATCCAACGAATATTTAGATGTAATAAACTACATCTATATATAGATAAAATTTTCGGAACGTTCTCAATGGGAACATTTTTTTCCGCACGTTCCCAGGTGGAAAATATTTAATTTGCTGGAACGACAATGGTAAAGGAAAGTGAATGTTTTTGTTCCGGGTTTCTGATTATGGAGTTTTGCGCGGTCTGTTTAAGAATCAAACATATTTTATTTAAGCATCATAGATAAATTGTCACAAGGGTTTACCTCCATTTAATATGAAAACTGATTCTTAAAAAAAAATAAAAAATTCCCAGAGAATAGGAATTTAAAAGGCGGACCGATAGAATATCTTTTTAAAATCTGTACGCGTACAAATAAATTATATACGAGTTTTAAATTTTGCTTATGTTTATAAAATTATATCCAAATGCAAAAGTGACTAAATTTTTTTTTTCTCTCTCTATGCTACTGATTTTTAAAAATTTTTACCAATTATAATCTATAGGTGTTTGAGGACTATTACAATTTCGAAAATGAAGGAGCACATGGATTCTTGATAGTTTATTCGATAAGTGATAGAGATTCGTTCGATAAAGCAATAAATATAATGATCAGCTTAAAAAAAATCCATTACCCAAAAGCAAAAATTTTGGTGGGCAATAAAAGCGATCTCGTCAGGGCCAGGGAAATATCAACTGAAGGTTAGAAAATATTTTTTTTCCCCTTTCATACATTTTAAATCCTAATATTGCATATATTAATTTTTTCAACTAAGACAATATCTCATTTTCTTTGATGAGTTTGTAGCGTTATAATATAATAAAAATATCATTTTTAAAAAATCTCAAAAGGTGTGAAATTACAATTACATTATATAAATGTTTTTTTTTAAATAGAAGCCACAAACGCCGCTAGGAGTTACGGTTGCAAATTTATAGAAACCTCAGCAGGGTTAAATTTAAACTTAGACAACTTATTAGTAGGAATTCTAACGCAAATACGAATTAAAAATAGCTTACCGCACAACCCAGATGATAGGAACAAGGATTGCAATTCGAGAATATCGGACGTTGTGATGGAAGACATAATGGGCTCCATCAAATCGAATGGACAGAAAAAGATGAAAAAAAAGGTAAAAACTACTGTCAAAGCGATTGAAATCCCCCCGGCACCCAAATTCGAGATGAAAGAAGATGCTTACGCCAAGGGGCGATTGTTCGGAAGCAGAAGGGCTAAAAAATTATTGAACAAATTTTTCAAGGCTGATAAAAGAGTAACGATAGGTAAGCAAGTGTCGAAATCTTGCGTGAATCTGTATTCTTAAAACTTATATTTTTTTTGGAAAATAGATTTTTATTTCTTTGAAGGGCGAGATTAAACTCGAAGTTTGAAAATATCGGGATATTTCAAATGTAACGTAGTTCACAAATTTGTATATATTTTCTAATTCCAAATATGTAGTTTGATAAATTTAGTAAATGGAAATATTGTATATATTAGGCATTGTTATAAATATTCCTTTATAATTGGTTATACTCTATATTGTATAATAAACTTTTTAAATACATCTTATATATTGAAACAAATGATTTTTTTTTCTGATTGATTACTTTTCTCCTTCTAATCATTTTACAACTTAAAAATAAATAAATACGTAGACTGCTTTCAAGATATATAATTCCGATCTCTTCTAATTTGCGAGAAATATATTGATTAGGGTAACTTTATTGACAAATACATTTATTTATAAGAATCTCTTTCATAATATATACATATATTTTTTAAACAAAAAAAAACTGTAGTCAACATGATGTAATTATTTTCATACATATAAATAACGTAAGAATCTTTTAAACTCGGGTTTAAAGAATATAAATTAGTTGAATTTCGGAATGGCGCTTTGTGAGATTATAAATAAAAACATGTAAAATAATTTAGGGAAGTAATATAAATATTGGATAGTTTGTAAGTAATTTTGAATAAATATTTTTTAAAAAAATTCGAAGTTAAATAAGATCATAAAAATGTAAATGTATCATACAACATAATTATATTACCATAATTATATTATAACGCGATTGTTAAATAAAACAAAGAAAGCTATCCCGATAAACATTAAAAATTATTTTAAAATTGATAGATTTTATTTATCTGATCGGAATGTAGGCATCTATTTTGGTCCTATTCTTTTGGGCAATGCATTCTGCGATCCATACAATATTTCGGGTTTCTTGTTCCCTCAATTTGACGTAGGCATAAAAAATGCCGAAATGAAATTGCTTCATGAAAGAAAGGATATTCATGTGTACCTAAAAAAATCGTGTGATAAATATCGAAATTTTTTTTTACTGAAAATTCTGCAAAAAATATGTTTTATAAAAATTATTTTTCCTCAAAATTACGAAAATTTTAGGGCGTTAGATTAAATCTTGACGTGCTGTCAAAAAGAGGTGATAAGACGAGAATTAATTTTTTTTTCTCTTGAGGCTGAACAATTTTTTCGGCGCAACTGGAGTTAACCGTTATGGAGACGGCTCAAAATAAATAGATTTACAAACGCTTCTTACCATTTATAATTCGCGTGTCATTTATTCTAAAAGCGTGCCTATTTAAGCAGTACGTCGCCAATATTATGCAACTCGAATGCTTTATTATAATGAACAACTTGTCAATCATCAAATATCATATATAACAGATAAAATTCATATAAAAACAAAATTATCAAATGGGAAAAAAATAAATAACAAATCTCATTTCAATCTTTAAATAATGATTAACCTCGTGCTCGAAGAATTTATCCTCCAAAGTTTTATCGCCCGGATTGGAACCTGTTCCATCGAACAACGGCTTGTAAGCCTGTTATGAAATATAAAAATATATTATGGAATTTAATTTTTTAAAAAAATCCACATTTCTCCTAGAAGCCAAAACCTTTTATATAAATAAGTTTTTTTTTTTAAAAATCCTGAAAAATTTAAATTATATAATTATTTATAAAAATTATGAATTTATTAATCTAAAAAAATGTTCTTTAATTCATTATTAGGGGAAAGAAGTCATAGGAGTGTGGGGGACGCCATTTTTATTTGTTTAATACCTACATTGCTAAGGAGATTTCCAGCTTCTCCCTTTGTCTACAATGTGGTTAACAATAATGAAAAATAATTATTCACACAACTATTTAGCACAAATGTTTTTCGAACTGATATTTGATTTCTTGTTAATACCAAGTATTTACTGGTTTATCGGCCTACCGATACCCTGAGTATCGTGATGGCCCATTTAGCTATTAGTATAATCAATAAATATATATTACCCCATAATATTCGGCCACCGCCTGGACTTGTTCGTATTCGTCCGCCTTACCCAACAAACTTAACCCATCGGGATTGAGATTACCGCAACGGGGGTAAAGCTTGATGCGGTCATCTTTAGTCAATTCCGTTCCAAAAGAATTAATAGTGATTATGAAAGCCCTTCGGTCGGCTTCGAACTTTGAGCGCAAAAATTCGATTAAAATATATAGAAGGAAATGAACAATTATGAACCAAGCACCGCCCCTTCATATATAATATCCCTCAACTCAAATGTTTAAGCACCCGAAGATTCGTCGAAATTTGAAATAGTATGACCCATTCGTACTCTTTGCGACGCCTGTCAACATTATATTATGATGAAAGATTTATAATATAAAACCAAATTAGAGGAAATAGTACACTATATAGCCTACCCCCCCCCCCCCCTACCAAGATTTAAGAGTTTGAGTAATATTGGCCTAAGTCAGAGGCCTGCCCAAAAATAGTATGATTTTAAATATCCGAGTAGGGCTTAAAAAATCCAAGTCGAGGGGCTGACTTATTTTTTTTATTAAAGTTATGTCAATTAATCGATAAAAGATCAATTTAAGGAATGTTCAACTGAAGGATATTTTCTTAATTGAATGAAACATATTTAAAATTAAATAAATATCTGGAAGTAGAATAGGATTAAAGGTTAGAAAGATTTGGGAGGATTAATTAAAGGGAGAGTATGGGTTAGGGTTATGATATATTAAAAAGTTTTTGATCAAAACTTAATCATTTTTATTTATAACTTGTCAAATCTGACAGAACATGTCATAATGTAATTAAAGTTGGAACATGTGAAGAGCGTTTTATTAGCAATTATACTTTAAATCATTTGCAAAATTATTAAAATAACGAAATTATAATAATTCTGGGCTATCGAAAATAAAATCCGGTTCGGGGAAATTTTTTTTTTGCCCGGGTTTGAAATAAAAATTTTAAAAAATCTGTAACCGGGTGCAGGGTTGCCAGATATTTTTCACTTGAAAATTTAGTTTTTCTTTTATAATAATTTAAGGAGGCTTTGTCTCCATACTCTCCAATTTGTGGGCTTTCGGTCCGCTTCTGCATGGCCAATGATTTACTAATAACAATTATGATGTTTTATTTTCCCAAGTTTATAAATATAGCATATTAATTATTATATTTATGGATGATTTTAAAAGAGGCAATAAATATTTTCTATCGGCACTGTGGAGATAGGCTGAATACTCTTTGCATGAATAGTAGGGATGTACCGATATTTTTATCAGATCAGATCGGGCCGATATTTCCCTCATTTAATATCGGTTATCGGCAAATATTATAAAATTTTCAGATCCGATACGATAAAAAATGGCGTTTTTAACAAAAATAAAATATTATAAAATTTTTAAAAAACGTTATATCTAAAAAACCATTTATTTTTATAAATAAAATCGAAATTCATTTTTATGTTTTTTTTAAATAATAATAATTAATTAATAAGCATTCTGCCATATTGTTATTTTTTTTGCGCATTCTGTTTATAAAAGTGTTTGATAATCTTTTCAGAATCTGTTTTTAGTGAAATTGATAGTCCCCATCGCCGCAGACTGGCCTCTGATAAATTGAAAATTTTGGTATTTCTAAAAAGAAATCTTCGATATATTAATTTTAAATATTAATTTAAATATTTATTTCAAATTTCATAGTTTTTTTATTACTTATTATGTAAATAACTTAGTGTTGTAAAAGTACGCGTTCATTTGAAAAAAATGATAACGACGTTCCTTTTATTTTTGAAGAACTTTGAACGTTAACTTTATGACGAACGCTTCCAATTTAAGGTTCGTTCAATTTTAAAAATACTTTTGATTTTTACTTATTTAAAAAATTTAATATTAATCCGAATTTTTTAAAAAAAAGTATTATTTATATTTATTTCAATCTTTTTTAACACGCCATTATTATAGTTTATTAATTTGAATATTATTGTTTGTATTTTAATTTAATAGATTAGCATAAGCATGGATATTATTATTTAATCCTCATCATCTGATTCTGAAAAACCAAAATCAGATGAATTAACCATGGCCAAATATGATAAATGTTTTACAGTAATATCCTATATTGAAGGAAATTCAATGCTTACCAAGTGTAAAATGTGCCCAAAAAGTATTATATCAGTGTCAAAATCTTCAAGTTCTAATTTAAAACGACATTTGATTGTAATATTAATTATTATTTTTATATAATATAACCAAGTAAAACCATTAAATTTGAAGAAAAATTGCATTTGGGATATTTGACCCCAACAATTATTTTAAAATTAAAAAAAATTAGTGGCCTCAAATATGGTCAACCATTAATAGACACAGTTTTAATGGGATTAATAAAAGGAATTAAACCTATTTAATTACATATATTTTTTGTTTTTAAAGATTTGAACATATATATATGAAAATCAATATGTTCTTTCTGCAATTATACATTCAGTATTCAAGCTTCAATAGCCATGGATAAAACTTCCACAAAACGAACCTATTAAAAATAAACTTAGCGTTATTGAAAAAAATGCTTTGAAAACCCTAGAAATGATAATGCAAGAACTGTTAATTTCGAGATATCCTTTTTTTGTCGAGAAAGTAGAGAATGGATTGGAGGAGTATAACTTATCTCAATTTTTTGAAGCAAATAACAAAACAATAAATGTTTTTAATAAATTCCCCACGTTAAAAGAGTTGTTTATAGTATAATACCTACCCTCATCTACCCTTGGGCGCGTTTTTAGTATAACTAATGTTTTAGCAATATATATATATATACGTTCTTATTCAAAAAATAAATAATTCAAATTCAACAAAATTTTTATGAGAGTATTTCCTTATAATGACGAAGTAAAAACTTTAAATTTCAAAAATGAATCAAAGATGTTTATAAAAAATATTATAGAATATATAGAAAAACGGTATGATATTATAGATAACATAGGGAAATATCTTAGCCCTATGACATTAGAAAAATGTCCAGCATTTGAACAATTTCAAAAAAATATTATTAATTATAAAATACCAAATATAGATAGATATTCTATTTAGAAGAATATTCACATTTATAATCATATTATTAAGATAAATTATCGAAAAACAATCCTTTCTAATAAAAACTCACCTATGATATAGAAAATATGCAATTTTATATTTTCTATACAGCATTCAAATGTATCATCAGAGAGAATATTGAGTCTAATGACTACTGCTTGGAGAAATGAACGTAATAGACTATATTTATCATCATTGGAAGCTGAACTTGGTTAATCAAAATTATAACTATTCATGCAAAGAGTTTTAGCCTATCTCCACAGTGCTCATGAAAAATCTTTTGCCTATTTTAAAATCATCCATAAAATATAATATATAATATTAAGCTATATTTACAAACATGGGAAAATAATACATCATAATTGTTTTCGTAAATCAATAATTTTACCTATATTTCAAAAGTATAAGGAGTACATGGCATTAAATATACCATTATATACAACTAATTAATTGCTATAATTTAAATTTATCTCTTTAAAATTGTCCCTCCTGAATTTATTCTTTAATAAAATTTTAGGCCTAGGCTGCATACCTTGATAGGGCCTTGGCCTGAAGGTCTAGGATATATATTAATAGTTTAAAGGGAGTTATTTAATTTAAATAAAATATTTAGTAATTCTAATTTAATCAGCAAAAAAACTAATATCAGTGTATCTTTGTAAAAAAACATTTAAAATAAGAAGGTTTTAAATCCATTCAAAGGTTCAGTTAACCTCTACTCTGTATTCCTGTTGAGTATAATTACCTACTCCCCTACCCCACATAAAAATTTCTAGCTATGTATATTATTAGAAAATTTTAAAATTTGATAAACTATAAATAGAGAATATTTGATTATTATTTTAATATACTGCTAATATTTCTGTCATAACTTCAGCTGTGGTTCCACCTAGCTTCTGACAGTATTTGTAAAAATCTTCAATATAGGCCTGTAATTTAATTATATAACCATTAAAGTACACTTATATACTTTGTATAAAGTGTTTCTAATAATTTCAATATTCATTTCATCTAAGTCTTGTTCAGAAATACAATCAGCAAAATAAGGAGCTGCCATATATTAAAAATGTAATTATTCAAAAAAAATTTTTAAATTATAAACCAAGAGGAGTATCAACAAGAACTGCATTGTATAACTCAGCCGGGGTACTGGCTATATGAATGGCTTCCATTTGTTCAAAATTTCCAAGAGGATGACATTTTGATATAAGCTCTGATATTGGTCGTTGATGCAAGGTTCCGGTTATTAATAAAATAATGTTATCAATCATATATGAATATCTAGAATTTATTTTTAGAATAATCTAAATAAAACTGAAAAACGTGATGTAATCTAAAAATGTTGATAATGGCTCTAGAGCTTGATTCCTCAAATATTGAAATTCTAATACTAATTTTTCCTTTAATTTTTCATCAATTGTTGAAACTGCAAGAGGACTTGGTTCATTAGCCAAAAAGTTGCCATAATCTGATGTTTGTAAATGAACCCTCATATCTAAATTTTTTTTAAAGGAGTTAAATTTAATATGTTATTAAACCATCAAGATTTTCACACTGAACTATATTCATATAATCAGTATTTTTCAATATTCCACTTTCCATTCCTCGTAGAATTCCTTCCAAATAACCATGATCTATATTGAAAAATACCTCTGAGCAACTAAACATTAGGTTATTCAAATGTTATACAGATAGAGAAAGGATAGATATTTGCTAGTCATATGGGAAAAATCTACCTTTAAATAATTATTTCTTGTATAATACGAATTAAATATATTTTTTAAAATATATATAGATATCATTTTTAAATGGTATTAAATTATATTTAATGATAGTAATTAATTTTTTTCAAACAATTTAAAAAAAGTTTTTATAGTTTATTTATGATAAATTATTTAAACGCATTATTTAAATATAATATAATATATCATATGCATTAATTTATTATATATGATTTAATTTTGCAATTTAATAACTCTTGATTTTAATAATTATTGGTTATATTTATACATCCTTACAAAGTTATAAATATAATATCTAAATAGCAAATATAAATAATTATATTATCATTAAGTTAGTCATAAATTTATTACAATAGACCTTAACTTCATATAATAAATTGTTATTTAAATTTATCTATTAACCGCCATCTATTTTGTATATTTATATATTTATCAACAGATGGATTTTGACATCTCGTGTCCAAGATGCAAAACATCGCGTTATAGAAATCCATCATTAAAACTTTTAGTAAACACATGTGGACACACATTGTTAGTAAAACTTTATATTCTTTTATTTATTTTTAATAGATGTGAGTCATGTGTAGATTTGATTTTTGGAACAAGGGCATCAGGTCATTGCCCAGAATGTCACATAACTTTAAAAAGATCCCAATATCATTTACAAGTATTTCAGGATTCGTCAGTGGAAAGAGAGGTAGAAATAAGAAAAAGATTATCAAAAGAAGTTTTCAATAAAACAGAAGAAGATTTCAATAGTTTAAAGGAATTTAATAATTATTTAGAATTTGTTGAAGATATTGTATTTGAACTTCTCGATTCCCATCAAAGAACTACAGATTTATTAATTGAAACAGCTAAAAAGAAAATAGAGCAGTATAAAAAAGAAAATAAAGAATCAATTCTAAAGAATAAAGGGAAATTGGTAATACCATTAAATGAAATAATTGTATTTATTTACTTGAATTTCATTATTTTTTTAAATAAACATTTAACATTTTGAAGAAATATATACATGATAAACAGTAATCTCTAAACTAAGAATGAATAAAATTAAATGTAAAGGCATAGACACATTTACCTTACTTGGGATTTTCATTTTTCCACAAAAACTCATTCCTTTGTGAAATATTAGTAAAAAGTATAACGATTCTTTGAGAATATACAAAATTAAATAGTAAATTCATTTATTAGATTATGCTAATAAGAATATAATTCATGTTTGATGTAACAATTTTATTATAAAATTTTATGTTCAATAATTATAATATTACTACATTTCCTTTTTTTTAAGGAGTCAGAAATTACAATTCTTCAAATTAGTTGTATGGTTGATTTGGAATTCATTTAGATTTTCGTAATGTGGAATCATAATTTTATTAAAAAGATAATTCCTTCTTGTGTAACTAGAAATGATACCATGTGTGGTATAAACTTTTGATTGTCCACTTCTCTTTTTTTTTGAAATTGTTCATCATGTTTTCATAATATGTTATCTCAACTCTACCATGTATGAATATAATGTTATCATTTCACTTCACAAATGTCTGTTCATTATGAACCAAAAAGTTCTGGGAAGGCCAGCTCTTACCCCCATCAACAAAAAACTCCACCAATTTTGCCCTCATTCTGCAAAGAACTTTTTATAACAAATTTTTTGCAAAATTTTCACATTTTATTAATAAAATTTTTTAGAAACAGGATTTATTTAATTTTTTTATTTTGTAAATTAATAAAGAATGAAATTAATATGTCTAGTTTGCTTTAGTAAAATAAAAGTAAATCAATCCTCCAAATGACGAAATTTTAGAATTGGTCATTAAATTATAATGATTAATATGTTTTAATCAAACATTTAAAAAAAATAAAATAATTAGTAGTGCTTCCAAATTAAGCGGTTGTGTTTAAACAAAACAGGTTGCAGCATTGTTTAAATTGAAGTACAATATTTTTTGAAAATAATAATTATAATATGAAAAAAAAACAATATTAAACAATTTTACGTGTTTTTATATTACAAAAAAACGTTTCTCAAATTTGCCCTATATCTATAATTTGTAATATATTATAATAAACCCCAAAAACACCTTAATTTGGAAACACTCTAAAGAATAAAATAATACTTTTTTATATATAATAGGGAAGACGATTGTCGGGGTAACAATGTTAACGTGAATAACTTTTTAACCCATGAGAATAAAGACTTCAAATTTATTGTGAAGATATATTTTTATATCTAATTTCTTACCTAGGTCATCTTTTTTAAAAAATTTCCTTGTTTGAGATATTTTGCTAAAAAAATATAATTTTTTACATTCCGGTATTGTATTGAATAGTTTATATTTAAAAGTGATGAATATTTTGTTCAATTAAATAGTATAGTTAGGTTCTATTTTATTTTAACTACTTTACCCTGATGCTTAGCTACTTTACCCTGAGTATGGGGTAATATGGCGAAAATAGAACACTTCACATAATTAATAATAGCTCCTAAAGTATTATAGGTAGGGAGCTATACTTTTTTTTATTTTGTAGATGAAGGATTTGGCTATATATAAATCTATAATTTCTGTTTTGTTTATGTTTAAAATTTTTTGGCCAAAATGCAAAATATCAATCTTTTTACCCCGGTCTCCCCTAAAATAACAACTTTCAATAAAAAGAGAATGGCAAATACGCCCTATTTAAAGTATATTTATAATTGCTATTGGTTCACCTGCATTTTCAAAATATAGATTTAGCAAGCCTGGTTGTATGGCATTAGATTTTAATATTTTTTGGATGAGAATCATGGGTCACTGTTTTAACAATTGTATGTTTTAATATTTACCGCAACATTAGGATCCAATTTAAAAGGGGTGATATTGTCTATACATCAAATTTTGCGAGGAGTGATACACCCCATTTTGATGTGTCCTTTTTATTTACCTAAGTTATTGGAGTTGGAGATAATGCTAGACATCTTTTAAGAATTCTACCAAGTAATAGTTTAGCTGGCACATTCCTGTCGAACGATGTTTGCTTATCTGAAGGCTACTAGAACTTCAACCGTATTATCTTCTGGTTCTTTTAATTCCCGAGTCATGAAATATTTACTTTTTAAGTTTTAATAGTTCTTTGACTATTAGATTGGTTTGGAGGTGATACTCCATTGTCTGCTAAGTCTGTCTGAGAATTCCAAATAGGGGGAACCATTTTAAAAAAAATATGTATCATCGACAATGATGTAGTATTTTTCCTTATATCCATTTCTACCGGCTTTGAATACGATTCGACTCACATTAACCAATATCTAGAATAGCATGGAAATTTATGAATATCGAAAATCTGTTATTTATTTTTTCTAATCTGTGTAATGAATAATAATTTATAAGAGCCAAGACCAAGAATTCTTGCGTGAACTGATCGAAGAAGAAAAATCTCAATATTCCTTGATCAACGCCGCTGCCATTAATAACCCAATGGGCGGAGACTTAACTAAATCCAACTCCTCTCACCTTATTATATCGGATAGCAGCGATAATCGCAGCCTTAAGGACCCCAAGCCCAAAAATAGGACTGCAGAATACAACGAAAAATTGTTATACGAGCTGGCTAATAGCGATTTACCAGCCGATATAATCGTTAAAACACACGAGATGAGGTTCCGGAATCTAGGAAATAATGTGGATGAAGGAGTCACCATGGATGTTCACATCGAAGGCGGAAAGGAACTCAAGGACATGATTTTGGCTAGCCACCGGACAGGCAACAAAACTTCGTCATTGCTGCACTCCTTTCCTTCAATGGTCGATGACGAATACGTATATATGCCCATTATGCTCGAATACATTTTTTTTTAAACTGGCAAATTCTTCAAGTAAGGTTAATAATATTTAATTAAAAATTAATTAATAGATTTAGCAGGGTTGGCATGTCGGTCAATTGACCGGAGGAGTATTTGACTGGTCAAATACTCTAAAATATTAATGGCGAATAAATATTTTGATATAATTAACTAGTATGCATTAAAAGCATGTTTATCAATCTTATTATTTTTTTATTAAAATATAAATATGTAATTTTTCTAAATATAGTAATATTTTTAGTTATTTTTTTGCCTAATCATTGCCGTTTCTCGCCTTCTTTATTTTTTTCAATTCATTTTTCTTAAAAAAAATAAAAATACCCGATTTATTATAATCATAATATAATTTTTTCATTCTTATTTTTTAATAAATTTAAATTTTATTTAATATTTAGCCGAGTATAAATTATATTAATTCTCATTTGTTTTACTTACACTTGCTATATTTGGTTTTTAAAATTAATTTTCATTTTAATTGTTCTGGTCAGATTTACGGAATATTATTCAATTCTGGTAAAAAGTTTATTATATTATATTTATAATATTAAGAAATTATTTAATTGGTCGATAATTATAAAATAGTTAAGATTGATTAACTTTACAATAATCAAAATCATTTTTTGTTAAATTTTAATATATTAGGGATTATGGTCAAACCAAAGCATCATGTTTGGAAACATTTTCAAGAAGTACGCGATGGTAAATCAGTTAAAGCGGTGTGCAAGTTTTGCAAGATGTCCTATATCACCCACGTTGATAGAATGGTCAAACATTTATTAAGCAGCTGTACTATGTGCCCTGTTATAATTAAGGAAAAATTTTATTCAAATTCCAAAATATCAACCTCTACAAAAAATATCACAAATGTAATTTGTAATACTTCTAAGTCTAACTCTAATGAAGAATTGGGTGAAATTAGTGAGAATGATTATCAAATGAACAATATTTTGTCTTGTGACTCAGGAGAATTTGATACCCTTATTTCTAATCAATCTACAAGCAAGGCGATTAAATATAAATCTCAATCTTGTATAACCGGTTTCATAGATAGAATTAATCCCAAAGAAAAAAATGAGCTGGATCAATTGTTTGCAAAGGCTGTATATGCGAGCAATTTACCTTTCCACATCACTGAAAATCCCTACATCCAAGAATTTTTTAAAAAAATACGTCCTATTTACACATTACCCAGGAGAAGGCAGCTGGCTGGATATCTTCTAGACAAAGCGTCAGGTGATATGGAGGTGAGAGTTGCAGATATAATAGATAAAGCTCCTTACTTATCAATTGTATCAGATGGCTGGAGCAACATTAGAAACGAGAGTATTATTAATTTTATGGTGATGACGCCTGTTCCAGTGTTCTACAAATTTCTAAATACTGAGGAAAATCGCCATACGGCAGATTATATTGCCCAGGAATTTAAAAATGTAATTCATGAATTGAATCCGGTAAAAGTATATTCTTTAGTTACTGATAATGCCGCTAACATGAAAGCAGCCTGGAGAATTCTAAAATCTGAATCTATTTATAATCATATACAATGTTATGGTTGTGCAGCGCATACATTGCAGTTATTCTTTCACGATTTTGAACGATTGGACGCCTTCAGTGACCATATTTCAATAATTAAAAAAATTGTTAAATTTTTCAAGAATAAACACATACCAGCTGCAGTATTTTCCCGTAATAATCTTCATGGCATACCATCTACATTAAGTACAATTAGCCAAACAAGATGGGCATCGTCAATAAAATGTATGGAGCAAATTCAAATATGCAAGAAAGCTCTAAAAGCATCAGTTGTTGAAGAAGCTGTTTGTGATAATTGTCCCATAGAAATTACCAATAATATATTAAACGAAGAATTTTGGACGAAAAATTTAAAATTTTTAGCTATACTCCAACCTTTAGCTACCTCATTGTTGAAAGTGCAAGGGGATAAATGTACTTTGGCCCAAGTAAAAAACGAGATGCTTAATTTGGAAAAACACATAATACAATCATGCCATGATTCTATATTTTCTCCATCTCAAGAAAAAAAAATTAAGGTTATGTTTGAAAAGAGAAAAACTGATATAAATACATGTGCTCACAATGCTGCTTATTTATTGGACCCCCAATATCAAGGGGAGCATCTTACTAATACTGAATTTGATGAAGCATGTAATATAATAAAGAATTGGGTATTTTACAAGGTGGTGATAATCAAAATATTTTGAGTAATATAGTAAATTTCAGAAGCAAAAGCGGTATATTTAATAGCCATAATATGTGGAAAGTTGTAACTTCCATAAGAAACAATCAAATTTCGGCCTCAAGTTGGTGGAATGCATTTTGCCCACCTTGCCCATTAAGAGAAGTCGCTAATATTTTACTAACATTTCCTAGTTCGACTTCTTCTTCTGAAAGAAATTGGTCGGTTTGGGGCAATATTCACACGAAAAACAGAAATAGATTAAAGGCTTCTACAGCAAGAAAATTAGTAAGAGTGTATCATAATTTAAGATTGATTAAAAATATTAAAGAAAATAATGATATTGAATATGAATCGGAACAAGACTCTGCCACGGAGGGTGAAACATTGACTATAGAATGAATTAAAAAATATTATGATATTTATTATTATACATAGATTTATTATAATATTATATAAATGCAAAATAAAGTTAATATTGGTGTAAAAAACATTTATTTGAATTTGACCATATTTGACCGGTCAAATGCACAACCCTGAGATTTAGTATCTATGGGCTATTCTTTAGGAGAAGTTCGATATAGAACAGCATTTCAAAAAAACAATATGAATTGTCAGATTATGGCTTGGAGACTCATTATATTATATATTCTAAAGAATTACTCTTTTTTCTCGTTTCATCTAATAAGGTCAATTACAGCGGGGTCAAGTTTATGGAAGAAGAGGATGATGACGCCTTGCTGATTCCTTACGAATACAAGCCCTTTCAGGAATACAACTACGGCTCAGACGTTCCGGATATAGATAATTTGAAAGCTTTGGGGTGATTTTTCATGATATTATTATCAGGGTTGTGCATTTGACCGGTCAAATACAATTCGGTCAATTGACCGATATTTGACCGGTCAAATATGGTCAAATTCAAATAAATGTTTTTTACACCAATATTAACTTTATTTTGCATTTATATAATATTATAATAAATCTATGTATAATAATAAATATCATAATATTTTTTAATTCATTCTATAGTCAATGTTTCACCCTCCGTGGCAGAGTCTTGTTCCGATTCATATTCAATATCATTATTTTCTTTAATATTTTTAATCAATCTTAAATTATGATACACTCTTACTAATTTTCTTGCTGTAGAAGCCTTTAATCTATTTCTGTTTTTCGTGTGAATATTGCCCCAAACCGACCAATTTCTTTCAGAAGAAGAAGTCGAACTAGGAAATGTTAGTAAAATATTAGCGACTTCTCTTAATGGGCAAGGTGGGCAAAATGCATTCCACCAACTTGAGGCCGAAATTTGATTGTTTCTTATGGAAGTTACAACTTTCCACATATTATGGCTATTAAATATACCGCTTTTGCTTCTGAAATTTACTATATTACTCAAAATATTTTGATTATCACCACCTTGTAAAATACCCAATTCTTTATTATATTACATGCTTCATCAAATTCAGTATTAGTAAGATGCTCCCCTTGATATTGGGGGTCCAATAAATAAGCAGCATTGTGAGCACATGTATTTATATCAGTTTTTCTCTTTTCAAACATAACCTTAATTTTTTTTTCTTGAGATGGAGAAAATATAGAATCATGGCATGATTGTATTATGTGTTTTTCCAAATTAAGCATCTCGTTTTTTACTTGGGCCAAAGTACATTTATCCCCTTGCACTTTCAACAATGAGGTAGCTAAAGGTTGGAGTATAGCTAAAAATTTTAAATTTTTCGTCCAAAATTCTTCGTTTAATATATTATTGGTAATTTCTATGGGACAATTATCACAAACAGCTTCTTCAACAACTGATGCTTTTAGAGCTTTCTTGCATATTTGAATTTGCTCCATACATTTTATTGACGATGCCCATCTTGTTTGGCTAATTGTACTTAATGTAGATGGTATGCCATGAAGATTATTACGGGAAAATACTGCAGCTGGTATGTGTTTATTCTTGAAAAATTTAACAATTTTTTTAATTATTGAAATATGGTCACTGAAGGCGTCCAATCGTTCAAAATCGTGAAAGAATAACTGCAATGTATGCGCTGCACAACCATAACATTGTATATGATTATAAATAGATTCAGATTTTAGAATTCTCCAGGCTGCTTTCATGTTAGCGGCATTATCAGTAACTAAAGAATATACTTTTACCGGATTCAATTCATGAATTACATTTTTAAATTCCTGGGCAATATAATCTGCCATATGGCGATTTTCCTCAGTATTTAGAAATTTGTAGAACACTGGAACAGGCGTCATCACCATAAAATTAATAATACTCTCGTTTCTAATGTTGCTCCAGCCATCTGATACAATTGATAAGTAAGGAGCTTTATCTATTATATCTGCAACTCTCACCTCCATATCACCTGACGCTTTGTCTAGAAGATATCCAGCCAGCTGCCTTCTCCTGGGTAATGTGTAAATAGGACGTATTTTTTTAAAAAATTCTTGGATGTAGGGATTTTCAGTGATGTGGAAAGGTAAATTGCTCGCATATACAGCCTTTGCAAACAATTGATCCAGCTCATTTTTTTCTTTGGGATTAATTCTATCTATGAAACCGGTTATACAAGATTGAGATTTATATTTAATCGCCTTGCTTGTAGATTGATTAGAAATAAGGGTATCAAATTCTCCTGAGTCACAAGACAAAATATTGTTCATTTGATAATCATTCTCACTAATTTCACCCAATTCTTCATTAGAGTTAGACTTAGAAGTATTACAAATTACATTTGTGATATTTTTTGTAGAGGTTGATATTTTGGAATTTGAATAAAATTTTTCCTTAATTATAACAGGGCACATAGTACAGCTGCTTAATAAATGTTTGACCATTCTATCAACGTGGGTGATATAGGACATCTTGCAAAACTTGCACACCGCTTTAACTGATTTACCATCGCGTACTTCTTGAAAATGTTTCCAAACATGATGCTTTGGTTTGACCATAATCCCTAATATATTAAAATTTAACAAAAAAATGATTTTGATTATTGTAAAGTTAATCAATCTTAACTATTTTATAATTATCGACCAATTAAATAATTTCTTAATATTATAAATATAATATAATAAACTTTTTACCAGAATTGAATAATATTCCGTAAATCTGACCAGAACAATTAAAATGAAAATTAATTTTAAAAACCAAATATAGCAAGTGTAAGTAAAACAAATGAGAATTAATATAATTTATACTCGGCTAAATATTAAATAAAATTTAAATTTATTAAAAAATAAGAATGAAAAAATTATATTATGATTATAATAAATCGGGTATTTTTATTTTTTTTAAGAAAAATGAATTGAAAAAAATAAAGAAGGCGAGAAACGGCAATGATTAGGCAAAAAAATAACTAAAAATATTACTATATTTAGAAAAATTACATATTTATATTTTAATAAAAAAATAATAAGATTGATAAACATGCTTTTAATGCATACTAGTTAATTATATCAAAATATTTATTCGCCATTAATATTTTAGAGTATTTGACCAGTCAAATACTCCTCCGGTCAATTGACCAGTCATTTGACCGAATTTGACCGGTCAATTGATCAGTCATTTGACCGAATTTGACCAGTCATTTGACCGAATTTGACCTGTCAATTGACCGACATGCCAACCCTGATTATTATTATGTTATTCACATAAATATTCGTAAAAATGCTTTTTTTAAAAAAAAAAATAAAATGTGATTTTATCGTAAAAAAATATTTTATGCGCGTAAGGATTTATTTATAAAAGATTCAGAATTTTAGGTGAAATCTGATCAAATATTCTGTTTCTTCTCAAACTGAAATCAAAACCGATTATGGTTTCAAGTCAAGGAAATTGCTGTTGCAACTTCTGATTTATATAAATTTCTAATTGTCTATTTTATATTAATATGACCTGTGAGATTTGACTGTTTATTTATTTTTAATATATCTTCACCCTAACCCATATCCTCCTTACTTCGAATACTTGTTTAGTTTATAGTATATTTCATCCAATAAAATAAAATTTTGAACATTCTTTGAGTTGAGATATTATCATCAAAATCACCAAAAAGTATTCAGAACCTCTATTTTTTTTAGTCCAGGGTTTAAAGCTATTATTTATATTTCTCAAAATTTGGTTTTTTTTGGAAATCATTATAAATTTTATTTTTAATATGTAATCTACAAGATTTTTGCACAACGTTCGAGCCGCTACAAATTTAGACAAAAGCGGTGGTTATTCGGAAAAATACGCGTGTCACAGAGCTTTGCAGGAGGCGTTTTGTGGGTTATTTTATTCGCCTCCGATTAATTATTAAAATTGATAAAATGTTATTATACGCCATTTTGTTATATAAAAATTTTTTATCTTTGTATTATATTGTGATGAATAAATGAACATTGTTTTTTTATATAAAATGTCGAATATAATATGTAGTTTGCTTAAAAAGTTGGTAAAGAATTAAAATATTTTCATATTAAACATAAGTATTAGCCCTTTCAAAATTAGCACGAATTCGCAGAAAGTAAACAAAAATACAGAGTATTTTGAATTTCGCGTTAACTATGAAGGAGGGGTTAAAGTTCTGCATGGCAACCCCATCAGCAAGAACAACGGTAACCTGCTCAATAAAATATATACCCCGCACATCGTCCCAAAAGTATACATGTTATATTTCCAGTCTATTCTTCCCTATTTGCTTGATAAAGTTTTCTAATTGTAGAACGAATTTAAAACTTTTTAAAAAATTAATAGGTTGGAAATATTTACTATTCATTCATGTTTTGTACTAAATAGTATTGGTATATGAGAGGCAGAAATTGCCCCTCTAAATACAAAATTATTTAAAATTTTTTTTATTATTGTATAATAAATATAAATGCTCATTTTTATTTTTATGATTTTAGAAACTATCTTATACTAAAAAAAATGCTAAAATTGCAATAAATATTCAAAAATAATTTTGTAAGCCGAGTTTTAATTTAAATCAATCAACAAAATTGTTTTCTTGGAATAAAACAAAATTTTGAAAAAGGAATGGTAATTGAGTTTCAATATTTATATAAAAAATATGAAAGCTCATGAAATTTAGCGGTAAAACGCTCGATCGTTCATACACTGCAATCATAAAATATTTACAAATTTTGGTTTATATTATAAAATAATAAAAAAATTTATATAATGTATTGGACTTTCATCCTTTCTTGAAATTATGTGCGTTGAATTTGATGTAAATTTCTTAAATTTTATTTCGTTCCCTAACCCATATGGGTTAATTTATTATCAATAAAAATTCGTCTTCAAATTTTATTTGGGAGTATTTTTTGATAAAAATTTCTTAAAATTTATTTTAGACATTTTTAAGGTTTGCTCCAAGCAACGGTCTCCTGAATTTTTGGGTCTAGTTATGTTTTATAGCTAACCATTAAATTATAAGTTATTTCTGAATATTTAATTAAAGCATAACATAAAAATAAAATTAAAATTTCGGGTTTAAACTTTTTCCCTACAACTTTTTTTTTAGAAATTAGGGTCGCCACACCAGATCAAGATCTACAAAAATTGTCGGGCTTGGGCCGAGAAAATTTATTTTGGGGGGTCTCTTATTATGTAGAGGTATTCAGATGTGCATCGGGTTTTTTGTAGATTTTTAAAATCTCGCTGTTTGTGGGTAATATAATTTGAATTAATCTTTGAAATATTGTATCATTAAATACCAAATTTTTTGTTTAACAACTAATATACACTCTGGTCTCAATATAAAGAGACCACCTCAAATTTTTCATGCATCATTTTTTTTAATTAAAAATGCATAAGAAGGCGTTTATTCTTTAAAATAAGTCTTTAAGACTATATTATAATCCTTTACATATAATGTATAAAATAATTTGGAAGATTTTTTTTCTTCCAGTCATTTCCAAAATTATGGCCAAGATACGTTTTTACGTCAATAAAAAAAATCACATGAAATCTATTTTAATATAATATTTAGCAGATCACTATTATTTTTATTATTTAAAATACTTTAACTTATTTTCTAATTTGTTAATTTTTCTGGTCTCTAACGATCCGTGGAAAGCGGTGAAGGGTGGGTAGTCATTAATTAGCTACTTCATATTTAATTCCAAACCTTGAGCCTTAAAACATACTTCCTCTTATTTTTTCTAAAACTTCTGACCAAGATAACGATGTTGAAAGAAACACATATATTCCTAAATTACCCTCATGTTTGTCACATCTATCACATAGCATGCAAAAATAATCCACCCTACTCTTTACATGACTTCCATCACCAAAACCTAAGATCCTTTCTTCCTCAGAATTACTTTTGAATCGTGACAAAATTAAAAGCCTTCATAAACTCTTTGATATTTTTATTTTCATCAACATGTTTCTTTAGACATGCCATTCCGGTTGATGGATGCTGATTCCAACGATCCTATAATATACCTTCCTCTTCATCATTCTGCCAACCCGTGTTACTTTGTCCAAAATCGTACATAATATTAATTCATCAACAAATCAACTTGCCCAATAGCTTTATGTCAATATTTGTCTGCCTACAATCAAAATATCAACCTGAGGGTTTTCATTGCTCAAAGAGTTGTCATTATATCTCTTCAGAAAAACTTGTATTTTGTGCTAGTTTCGTCTATCATTCATTTTTTATTTTGTTCTGGTATCCTTCAGTCTGTAATCATTCTCCTTTGTTCAGTGCTTCCACCACTTTGATCTTTCCATTTTCCCTATAATTTCACGTTAGCACCCATACATCGTAGTTGCCTCACCTTATTCTCGAAAAAGTGGAAGGTTATTTAACAATGCATATCCCTAGTTTTTAGGTTCTGTAGTTAGACCATTCTGTAGTTAGACCCTTCTCTCCTCGTCTTTTTTTATATCATAGGCAGATGAGGATTCCTACAGAATAGTTTTTATGGTGCATATCACATATAGTAGAATATTCTAATACTCTTCTTAGTTAGCCAGACGGTGATCATACATTTAACCATAATGAAACCTAGCAGAGAGAGAGGGCAAAATTTTGAGATAGCTTTTAAATATGCAGATAATAGACTTTAATTTTATGTACCAGAATTAGCAATCATTATATATAAGATAGAGATAGAGTGATTTAAAGAATATAGGCTTTTTTCAAATAATACGAAGTTTTATCATTATTAGTTTCTAATTCAAAAATTACTTAGAGTCAAGCTGTCGAACCGAACTGCGATCGAAATAAACATGATTTTCCAAACTGAATCGTTATAAGATTTTTGAAAAATGAGAACCGAACCGTTATAACTACTTTTAACCTGGTTCATAACGGTTTCTTAATTATATTTATTTAAAATTTAAAATAATGAAGTATAAAAATTTAAAATATTGTTATAATATTTAATTTGTTATTTCTTATTAATCTTATGCATTGTTTTATATAATAAGAAAATTAGACGTGTTTTCTTATAATTTATTTTTTATTTTTATTATCTTCATAAAAATGACAGTTACAAAGGTACAAAAAATCTATTATCTCATATACAAGTATTCGTAAACTCCTGATAAACGATATATACGAATCGGGATAATATTATAAATGGATTTAGATTGCATAATAAATATTTAAATAACAGCTTTATAAATTTTGAACTATCCGGAATGAAATTAAACCGTTATATCTAACTTTTCGACACTCTGCTTAAAACATTAAATTTTTTATTAATTTAATTAATAACATTAATTAGCGATAATCTTGGTGAAATAAATATTAAATTTAATAAATATTAACTTGTGAATGATTTATAATTACTGTAAAGGTAAAATCGATATATATATATATATATATCGGGAGTATGATATCTGGTTTATATGCCAAACCGAATCATAAAAAAAATATATATTACACCTCAATTAGATAATATAACAGCATCTTAAATTAATCATTCATTTAAGAACAACATATATAATTGAATATTAAATCAAAAAAAAATCAATATAATTTATTAATTTGTTCGAGTCGCCACTATTTTAAAAGTTTGCTATTCAGTGTTAAGATGTGACTAACGCTAAATGGATTTAAAATAATTATTATTCTGGTTATCAATCTTTATGTGAAAATAACATTTAAGATTATTTTCTTTTTTTAAAAAATTTTATAATTATTAATGATTTAAATGAATCATAATAAGTCAAACCTTCCCTACCTTCTCCCTCTATAGGCATATCGTGGTGGGGAGGGGGGGGGAAAGCGTGGAGACGTTTTCCCTTACAAAAATTTGGCACTCCTCTTTCCCAAAAAGATAATACAATGTATCACTTTAATCAATAACTTTAAAAAAATAATCAATTTATAATAATTGGAAAAATTACTAATAAATTCAAAATTTTCAGAATAAAATAATAATATAAAAAGTGAAATGCAAAATTAAAAAAAAAAAGTAAACATCCTATGTATGAAGGCCTACTAGCCTAGCCACAAGTGCACCTAAAGATCTCCAATAAAATCCCACCAAATATTGCCCCCCCCCTAGCGAAAATCCTGACCCCGCCTCCAATGCCTCCTACCTTCTCTTCGTGGTCCTAGATATAAAATCTTTAAGTCATTAATATTGTCACAAAAACTTTGTAGAGGTCAATATGTTTTCTCCGATTCCTATTTATTAATTATTTTTATTCAAAGGTATTTCCAAATTTTGAAATTTATTTTTAATCATGAATATACATAATTTACCTTCAAAAAAATAGGCTTTCAACCTTCGCAATTTAAATCTTTCCTATGTTTTACAAATAATTTTTTTAAAAAAATCACCATGACGAATAATACGAGGGGGAAAAGAAGAGAAATTCTCACATTAAATTAGGTCAATCGATATAATAATGAATATTTTCTAATCCCACACAGTTCTCGATATATTTGACTGTCACATTTTTTTTATTTAAATATAAATTTAATAATCTTCTCCTATTTTTTTAAACAGATATATGTGAGTTTTTTAAACAAATAATCTGTTAATTTCTACTTTATACCCTTACCCATTATGAATGGAGGGAATAGGGGGGGGGGGTGGAGATAATCCATTTCATTGATTTTGATCATTATTATTTTCTGATAAGAATAAAAGCAATTGAGATATTTTAAACGTTAACAATAAATTACCTGAGTAAAATATGGTATTTCGTGTGTGGGCATGATTTTTTTTTGGAAAAATTAAACTGCCGTGAGCATGACAGGGTTTGGTTTTTCTTTAACCATTGTGAATGAGCAAGTCGAATTTGAGAAAAAATATAATAAAATGCATATCTCTAAATAAGCGGGGACGAACTGATAGGTATAACGCTTCAGTTTCATATCGGTTTAGGTTTATTTTAAAACGGTTTTCATTTCCATTTTGGTTATTTTTTAACAAATTTATATC